AGTTTGGAACTTTAATGCATTTCTTGATTAGATATTAACAAGTTCTTTAAACTGAATTATTTTATTCTTTTACCTTATTAAAAATCATGTTATTTGGGAATAGCTGATACAGTATGTTACATTAGTTTCAGATGAACAACATAGTGATTGGACAAGTGTATACATTCTGATATGCTAACACAGGTGTAGCTACAATCTGTCACCATGCATCACTATTCCAGTACCATTCTCAATGTTCCCTATGCTATATCCTCTATCTGTAATGTATTATTCCATAACCAGAAGCCTGCATCAACCAATCACCTACACGTAACTAGAGCATCCTTGTCTTGTTCCTGATCTTAGAGGACAATCTTTCACAATTTCACTATAGAGTATGATGTTAGATATGGGCTTCACATACATGGCCTTTCTTATGTTGAGATATGTTCCCTCTACAGGGAATTTTTAAAGAGTATTTTAGCACAAATGGATACAAATTTTCTCAGAATTTTTTTTTGTGTCTATTGACATCATCACAGGGGTTTTATTTTTAATTTTGAAAATGTATGGGGCGCCTGGGTGGCTCAGTTGGTTGAGCGTCCGACTTTGATTCACATCATGATCTTACGGTCTATGGGTTCGATCCCTGCATCAGGCTCTGTGCTGACAGCTCAGAGCCTGGAGTCTGCTTCGGATTCTGTGTCTCACTCTCTCTCTGCCCCTCCCCTGCCCCCCCCCCCCGCTGCCAAAAATAAATAAACATTAAGAAAAGTTTAAAAAAATGTACTTATTTAGTTTAGTTTAAATGTATTTATGGGGGCGCCTGGGTGGCGCAGTCGGTTAAGCGTCCGACTTCAGCCAGGTCACGATCTCACGGTCCGTGAGTTCGAGCCCCGCGTCAGGCTCTGGGCTGATGGCTCGGAGCCTGGAGCCTGTTTCCGATTCTGTGTCTCCCTCTCTCTCTGCCCCTCCCCCGTTCATGCTCTGTCTCTGTCTGTCCCATAAATAAATAAAAACGTTGAAAAAAAAATTAAAAAAAAAATGTATTTATGTATTTCTTCAATATTTATTTTTTCAAGTTTTTATTTAAATTCCAGTCAGTTAACATACAGTGTAATGTTAGTTTCAGGTATACAATGTAGTCATCCATCACTTACATACAATACCCAGTGTTCCTCACTTCTAGCGCCCTCCTTAGCCCATGACCCATTTAACCCATCCCCCTGCCCACCTCCCTTCTAGTAACCCTGCGTTTGCTATTTATAGTTAAGAGTCTGGTTTCTGGTTGATTTTTCTTTCATTCAAGGATGTGAGGAGTCACATTTATTGATTTGTATTTCTGAAACATACTTCCTTTACAGGGAAAAAAAACCCTACATCACCGTCAATGATCCTTTTTATGTGATGCTGAATTTGGTTTGCCTGTATATCACTGGGAATTATTCATCTATATTCATCATGGGAATACTGGCCTATAGTTTTCTGTTCAGGTAGTATCCTTTTCTGGTTTCCTGCCAGGGTAATTCCAGTCTCATGAAATGAGTTTATGGTGTTCATTCCTTTTGAATCAGTGAGAAGACTGCTGTTATTTCTTCAACAAACGTTTGGTCACATTCACCAGTGAATCTACCTGGTCCTTTTCTTCCCTGAGAGAATTTCAATTAGTGTTTCAACTTACTTACTTTGGTTATCTTCTTGTATTGATGCAGTCTTCCTTAATGGGTCAGTGCAAACCTTCTATTTCTTCCTGATACAATCTTGGTAGGTTGTGTGTTTCTAAGAACCTATCCATTTCTTCTAGGTAGGCGATTTGCTGGCATCTAATTTGGCCATGGTCGCCTCTTTGTCTCCTTTATGTTTCTTTGGTATCAGGTGTAATGTCTTCTCTTTTATTTATAATTATTTTGAGTTGGGTCGTCTCTCTGTCTTAGCATAGTCTATGTATAATCTTGAAAATTTTGTTTCACTCTTCAGAAAACCCACTTTTGGTCTTCTTCATATTTTCTATTGATTTCATGGTCTCCGTTTCATTGGTTTCCACTCTCATATGAATTACTTCCTCCCTTTTGAGAACATTGGACACTGGTAGATTGTTGTGTTTTTCTAGTTCTTTGAAGTTAAAGGTAGGTTGTTCATTTGAGTCCCAAATCTATCCTCCATGCATGCAAACCAGTGACTCATCAGAGAACCTTCAATAGGTCTCTCCTGCCCTATTTATCATTCTCCAAACTCTGAGAAATGGAACCAGAAAATTTATTTGAAGACACAATAGATGAAAACTTCCTTAATGCGGGGAATGAAACAGATCCAAAAGCAGGAGGCAAAGAACCCCCAAAATATTCAACAGAAGCAGATCCACATCAAGTCATCTAGTAACTAAAATGAAAAATGCTGTGATAAAGAAAAAAAATTTAACAGCAGGAAAACAAAAGATGACAATTACCTACAAGAGAAACCCCATAAGGTTTCACTGGATATTTTTCAGAACAAACTTTGAAACTGTAAGTGAGAAGCACGGTATGGTAAAGGTGCTGAATGGATAACATCTGCAGCCAAAGAGAGTCTATCCACAACACTATCATTCAGATGGAAGGAGAGATCAAGAGGTTTCCAAATAAATACTCAGCGAGTTCACAACCAACAAACCACCCCTGCAAGAAATGTTAAAGCGGACTCTTTAGGTGGAAAATAAACACCTAAAGTGACAGTATTAAAGTGCGAAACGCAAAGGCAATAAAAATGAGTATATCTGTAAAACATCAGCCAAAGTATTCGCGATATGAAAGGTTTTGAAATATGACACCACATATCTACCACACGGGGAGGAGAGGAGTAAAGAACTGGTTCAAATTTTAACAACTATCAACTAAATATAGACTTCTATATGCACAAGTGGTGAGGTACAAATCTAATAATAACCACAAATCAAACACCACCAATACATATGCAGACTATAAAGACAAGCAATTTCAACTGTGGTACTAAAGAAACCCAGCAAACCATAAAAAAGAGAAAGAGGAGAAAGGATCAGAAAGGTTCAGAAACAACAATCATCAAGTAATAAAAGGACAAGTATATGTCTATCAATTACTTTGAAGGAAACAGAATGAATGCTCAAATCAAAGGCACAGGGTGACAGATAGGGGCACCTGGATGGCTCAATCACTTGAGATTTCAACTCTTGATTTTGGATCAGGCTATGATGCCAGGATCATCGGATTGAGCCCCAATTGGGCTCTGCACTCAGCATGGAACTTGCTTAAGATTCATCCTCACTCTCATTCTCTCTCTTTCTATCTTCCCCCATTCCCCCCACCCCGCCCTCCCATCCCTGAGCTCTCTCTCCTCATAATAAAAGGCACTGGGTGAGAGAATGAATGAAATATAGGACCTATCTATCCTCTACCTATAAGAGAGTAATTATAGAAGTAAATTATCAAAAGAAAACTGCAGTAGCCATACCTATATCAGACAAATAGATTTAAAAATAAAACACTAACAAGAGAGAAAGAAGGACACTATAATGATAAAAAGTATAATCCAATGAAAGATACAACAATTGTAAACATATATGTGCTCAGCCTGAGAGCATCCAATACACAAAACACTGAAAACCTAAAGAATTGATACTCATACAATCATAGAAGGGCACTTTAACACTGCAAAGACATCAAGGGAGATATCATTCCATCAGAAAATATACACTTGTATATTTTCTAATAACAGCATGCACATGGGTTCCAGAATTGATGAAGAAATACTCGACACAGAATGTGGAATATCACCATGTCATTTACAAAGTGCAACGGCAGCGGCACGAGAGGATACCTGAAGCCAACTCTAAGGGTGGCAATTACATTTGTCTAGCCTTGGAACACATAGAATAATCCTGACCAGCACACAAACTTGTGACTCCACTCAGCCCTTTGGGGAGACACCTGCTCTGCTCTGGGATAACTACCTGGAGCATCCATGGACCTAACCCTAAACCAAATGGTTACCCTAACCAGAACATTCACCCTACACCTAACCCTATATATCATACTGACACTACAACAGATGCACATCGGAGCATGTGCCCACATTTCAGCCTTACA